GGGGCTTTATTTAAGGTTATGCTTTAAAGACCACGGTATAAATATTGTATTATTGTAGCAATAAAATAATGAAGTTCACATGAAAGATAGTTCAGATAAACCATGGCTGTGGAAAAGGAAATACTAATTTGATTACTTACTCTTCTTAAATCATTTATAAATACAAGGCGGTATTAATTTGTTCAGTATTTTGTACGGCACATAAGACTTTATACAGAATCAGGTTTCTGTTTGGTTCCCCTTCATGAGTGATTGGAAAAGGGTTCTCATGAGAAGAAATAGGAAAGCTGAAGACATTGTAAATCCCCATCATTTAGGTGGCATAAGACTTAGCTTTTAGATGAAACGAGGACAATAATTATGACGTAATGCAATTTGTGGCGCCACTAATTTATGACAAAATAGCAAGCATAATGAATGGCAAGTTGTTAGCTCAATATTTTACTTCTGTTCGACAGTATGTATCTATAGAGATCACACTTTGAAGTAATGAATTTTATGCCAACTATATAATATTAACTGTACCTTATTAATGCCGTTTGGGGAGTTACATAATTACAGGAAAGAGGATTGCGTGTATGAGGCTATGATCAAAGTGGAACCCAATCAATAATGAAATTATTAGGATCATTGTGTTAGATGTTCAGAGGACAAACACTGCCCTGGGAATTAACTTGAAATTAATCGATCTCCTTATTAATTTAAAACAATTAATATGCATCTGATCAAGTTCGCATTATGTCAATAGAAAACGATTATGTCTGAAAACACAGTCATCAGAAAACCAATTTCGGTATGGCTAAAAAGAATGATGCGAGTATGCTATCATATTATGATTGTTGAGTGACTTATAACAAATTCATTACCCGATTACCGCAATGTATGGAATGAATGTCAATTTCAACAAAACGGAGAAAATTAAATCATCTTTTAGCTGTTAAGCAGTTCAATTGTTAAACTCTATATGTTTCATGTGTCGTCATTATAAAGGGAATATTTTTAATTGGTCTAGCTTCATTTGAAATAGTTGTGGGTAAATCGAAGGACACGAGTGCTACCACCGTGTAAATGACGTTGTTAATTGATTCACTTCAATTTTTTTAAGTACGATACAAAAGGATGTCATATCTAGCAATATTTTTTTCTTTCAAATTTTTGATTGTTCACTCCCTCCTCTCTCTCTCTCTCTCTCTCTCTCTCTTTCTTTCTTTCTCACTTAAGCGCTCTTCCTCATTGTGTCTGTACCCCTCCCTTTTCTATGCATCTTAAATTCGGTCTCTCTTTATTGTCCATGTTCTTGTTCCCTTTCTCAATTTATTAATTAGCCCCCCCCCCCCCTCCCTCTCTCTCTCTGCTTGTATCTGCCCTTTCTATCGATGTCTCTGTAGTGTATCTTCATACATCTTGTCGATGGGCAAGCGGAGTGGAAGTTAAAGGCAGCACCCCCCCCCCCTTTAGAATTTCGAAAATAAAGTTAATTTGGCATATAAGTCAATTTTAGGGCAGTGAGCTGATATAAATGGAAAGGCCTACACTGTGCAACGCCGACAAAATTACGAACGGGAAAGTAGATATATTATAGGGTAAAAGACGGATGTCACCCACCCCACCCTCTCCCCTCCCCCTCTCTCTCCCCTCTCTCTCTCTCTCTCTCTCTCTCTCTCTCTCTCTCTCTCATAGTCACTCACCCCCACCATAAAAGTGGTCCTGAACCGACTGCCGATTCATCAGTGACTTCATCAAGCGTGAAGTATAATTGCGCGGCCTGCCTCGTTACATCAGAATGATCATTTTGCATTTAGATTATTACGATTATCATAAACACTGAACGCATCAGATAAATCCAGTCTACATAGTGGCAGAAATGGATATTGAACATCTATGGAATCTTCAATACCCGAGACGGTGTATTAGCCTATATTTTCGTGGGGGATACAAAGTCGTCTAATGCATGCATGTGTTATCAGATAGTGTATTTTTATCTTGACGGTTATGAATTTGATGTATGCTCATACTTTCTTAGGTTTTGTCTGGTGCAAATACCATTTGATCCCTTTTCTACCACTCGATTATGTGTCACCCTGCATAGCCCTTTTTGGCTTTGTTTCTTTCTCTCTTACCCTCTCTACTCCCCATGGAGTTACTAGCCCACTCCTTCCCTCCGTCCCCCTCCCTCCCCCCCCCTCCCCCTCCCTCTCTCTCTCTCTCTCCCTCCCCTCGCTCTTTATATTGGGATGGTATGAACAAAATGATTATCATTTTTTTGACGACAGTTAAAAGGGTATTTAGGTGACTTTTGTATCGCCGATGCTGTAATATCATATGGCGGTAAGTTCCTAAGCTCCTGCTCTGGCCCTGACGATCAGGTAATTCATGTAAATAAGTTAATTATAAGAACACGAAAACTAGAATGTGTTGTACAAAAGAAGGATATGGAATAGATAGGTAGTCACGTAACGAAGATAACAGGGTATTATGAGCGTCTAATCACGACGGGCGTGGCGCATGGGACTGTCTAGCTCTATTAGAACAAATTCCCAGACGGGTTAAGACCCCAGACAGTCTTACGCATATCACTGCAAGAAGAACACGGTTGGTAAGGAAACGTACAAGATAAATCGAGATTTACTAAATTGGGTAGCCTATTGCCCCGGTTACTAAAACGTGAACACATAGGTGAATGTAGGGTGCATTAGCACCAGTTAGTCATGACTGTATTACGGGGTTCTGCGGTCATAGGAAGAGCCGAGAAGTATAAAGAAGGGGCATTAAATCATCGTCATGAAGCAATTTATCAAACAACAAGTCAATATAGGGTCATCAGGAGGGCAGATAAGGAGACAGTTGAGTTCACCATTCCGTCTATTATCATATCACTTTCATACTTTATGAATATCGATTAAAAACACAATAAGTTTTTACTACTTACTCGATAGCAAAAAACTTAATGAACACAAAAATATGGTAATATTTGACCCAGGAGTTTATTTTTTTTCGTATCGGGTTAAATCAATGTGAAGTATATGAGAATTGTTTGGATTACGAAGATGGATAGTTTTCAATAATTCTGGGAAAATTAACATTTATGAGAGAATGTGGCAGTTAGCTGGAGTGTAGAAAGGTGTCGTGTCTTGTTTGATTTTCCAGCTGCCTTCACTCTTTTTTTCTTTCTCTCTCTCTATCCCTCTCTTACACACACACACACACCCACACACACACCACACACACACACACACCACACACACACACACACACACACACACGCGCGCGCGCACATTAAAAAGCTATCTCCTCCCCCCCTTTTTTTTAAAAAACTGGTCGTAATTTAATTAAATTTCACCAACCTCCGTCACACCCTCCTCCATCCTAGTTACATAATGGCGGGAATGGAAAGAGTCTGAAATATTTCTCACATTATTAGCTGAAATGATAAAGAAATCTCTTTAAATATCTTCTTTTTTTTCCTTTTTTTTAATTTACGATGATTATGATGATTTCTTTCGACTGTTGAACATTTTTCTAGGCTTGTGTAGAATGTACTTGTATTCATTTGAAAGGTGACATTCGATTTCTGATATGAATGATAAGTAAGTTAGTCATGGGATGGTTTTCGTTCGACATAATAGAGATTGGGGGCGCACTTACCACATCAGTGCCAGAGCCATGACTAGGTGTTCAGCTAACCCATTTACTATGTGCGGCGGTATGGTGCATATGTCTTTCTTTTGTGCTTGCCCGACAATGCACCACTCACCATCATACTACCCGCAGAAACCAGTTTGTTCATAAGTCATTGCAGTTTTTGCGTACATGACATCGGCATCCAATGGCGTTTCTGCCGCATCTATATTGGTCTGTAAACTAGAGGTCATACATCATGTATCCATACCAAAATTATGTTAATAGTCCTTTAAACAAACCAAGGGTTTGTATCGCTTTTCCGTGTTTCTAATTTGTATCCCCCCCTTCCCCAAAATCAAGGGTAAAATACATACGTGTCGTTGCTTTATTCACAAACCGAGCATATTATTATATGCCTAGTTATCATTCAAATATCGGTGTCTCTCCTGCTTTCGCCGAAATCACATTTCAGATTACCGAAATCATCTTGGCCGCTACAAAAATGTTCATCATCATCATCGTCATCACCAAAATTATGAATCACGATATATGAATCTCCAAATCCTAGTTTTAATCATCAGAACCACAAGTACTTTTTCAAACCATCGCCATCGCCATGATCAAACTCGTTCGTCATTTCCGATAAGCAATGCATGCAGCCATTCAACAACCATAATCCTAGAATTATAATCCATCGACTTTATTCATACGGGTAAGGAATCCTTCACTATTCTAACATCAGTACGTGACCACCATAACCAGTATTAACATTATCACAATCACCAACATCATTGCCGTTTCGACCAACATGTATAAAACTACCATCATCATCATCATCATCATCATCCTCATCATCATCCTCATCATCAACAAAATCATTTTCATCATCATTATCATCATTATCATAATGATAATAATAATAATAATAATAAACGTCATCATCACCATCATTATAATTATTTTCATCATCTTCAAGCAGCATCAGCATCAGCATCATCATCCGCAACTTCAGCATCATCAGCATATTCATCATCATCAACATTTTTATTCGAATAATAAGTCATCAAAACAATTATCATAATCACCATCGTCATCATCGTTCAACAAAAGTCATCATCATTATCATAATCATTATCATTATTAACAACATCATCATCACAATCGCTACCATGGTAATAAACTGCACCATCATCATAATCATCATCACAATCATCATCATCATTACCATCATTATCACCGTCATCATAATCTTCACTAGGGAACATGATCATTCATTATGTCACTGTTCATATTTTTTTCCATATGTTCCTATTATATAATCATAAAAGCACTCTTTCAGTTCCACAGGAGAAAATTAAACAGGTTTGTGCAAAATGAAATATTTCGTCAGTATTATTTTAATACGCGAACACGAATCTTATATTGCCATCGTACAACGACGTACATACACACACACGATAATTAGTCTTACTATCTCGTGCAAAACATGTTATCATAAATATTACAATACATAGCATGGTTTACACTTTAAGTTAGAAGAAATATTACATATTGCAAATTGGAGATGTATTATAGATAACACAAAAGGGACTTTACCATGTTTACAGTACTTCTTTAAAACCCTGTATAATCATACCACTGAGATGGAAAATCACAATCAATGCGACGATTTGTAAATTGTGCCTGAACTTTTGGCTAAAACTTTTCATCAGCCAGCAATTTCATCATTACGATCACGCGTATCATTGTCATCATGATTAAAATACTTGTCAGAGCATTAACATTTCAATACAAATGTGGGTGTTAAATATGCAAGAATCAAGAATTCATCATATTCGCTACCGAGTGACGAGTAATTTTTACACCGAAATATTTCGCTAACAAATAAAAAAAATTGAATTAGGTCAAAAATTTGTTTTTAAACCACCTTACAGTCAAAGAGATCATGCATGGATGCCTCCCATTAACCCCCCCCCCCCTCTCTCTCTCTCTCTCTCTCTCTCTCACACACACACCTCCTCCTTCCCCTTTCTTTACAACTTTTTGTGCGAGACCAGCTTTTAGACAATGAACAGTGTAAATTATTCGAAAATTATATTATCATTGACATAGAAATTGGAATAAGTGAAATATTCACGCAACCCCGTATACTTCAATTTAACCAAAAGAATGATTAACATAACATTTAGGGAAATTCATGAAAAGCAAGTCATATACTTGCGACGAACGATTCAGTCCATGGGGAAGGGAAAAAAAAAATCATATTTCTACACAAAACCTGTACTAGAATCTTCGGAAGGTAACCAATTGAAATATCTTTACTGCATGGCTTCACGTGAATGTGACGTCCTATATTGTTTTTTATTTCGTCACAAAGTTGAGTTAAAGGTAGGAATTGCTAACCAAATGACAAGTATTCAATCAACTTCCACTCATAATGTATGGCTTATTTTGTATAATGGTAGGAATTTTCACTAAAATTTGAAATCTTCATTTTTAGACTTTCTTACAACACTTACGGGCGGCACATTGGAATAAAACCTGGTTTTCTGGAGATGTTACAAACAAATTAAAAATGAAATAGCATATGTTCGACCTTAATCATTAAGACTTTTAAATTTTCTACTGCTTTCACATAGTGAGAACGCGTAGACTTCGGTGAAGATTCCTAAACCAAAGAGTCGCCGTGTCAAAGATTTATTTAAAAAGGCATTGCTCACAGCGTTGACTAAATACAATTCAAATTCATGTCATTTATTGTTCACTTGTGGTAGCGTTCGTGAAATATGTGAATAGATTCCAGTCTATTTGACATTGATAGTAATTTGGTTCCCTGAGTACGTATTCCCACATACAATTAAGGATTTTAGTATTTATGAGGTAAGAACATCTTTTGCGTAAACATATATAAGATATGGGTGAAATAGAGCTCGAGATGTGCATTTAGGTTTAGAAATGAAAGTGCATGTGAAAAAAATATAAGCACTGGCAGTACTGACCCTGTAGAAGTAGAAATAGAAGAAAGGCTTGATAACTTATTTCAAACTTACCCCGTACGATCATACAATTCCGTTCAAGCTTACATGGCATACAATAGATAGAGATTGTGAACGATGTGCATTTTTTTAAAAAGCTCACAAGAAAGAATAACCTCACAAAATTAATGTATACATTTGAAATGTATATTGACTTTGATTTGTCTCAACAGGAGTTCATCCCAGACTGACGAAAATCGTAAAATAATAATTAAAAGCTAATCGTTTGAATGAAATAACATAATTTGAGTTAAATTGAGGCATGGTTCTTGTTTCAGATTATCTTCCGTTGGTCATTTTGGTGCTTCCGAGGAATGAAGATTAAATAATGAAGATGGCAAGTCGACAGGACACCCAGATCCGTTATTTCAGCGCAAAGAATGACCGACAAGTACTTAAATAAAGTCTCTCCGAGACAGTTAGTTGTAATACTCAGCAATCAGTTAACAATGTCAACTTTTCGACAACAGGCAGCATTTTTTTCTAATATCATTAGTTGTTTGCTCATTTAGTTGAATATTTCTGTACATGCTTCAACTCATGAGCAGGGTTGTTTCAAACAACCGGCTCTTTCTCTAGTCTCTATTTTGTCCTCTGTACAAATCATCAGCAGTTGTATACCATGTAATGCAACCTGGCAAGTTCACTCTTGAGGATAGAGACCTCTGCTCGAAGTTTCATGTTGTCCTGTTCAAGATAAACTGCTCTGATTGCGATCTCTTCCTCCTTCATTCTCCTCGCATCTCTTGATCTCTTCGCTGCATCGTTGTTCTTCCTCCTTCTCTCCCAGTACGCGATGTCTTTCTTTTCATCTGGAACGGGTTTGACTTTCTTTCTCGATGGCTCTTCGGGCTGCAGGTCCACGACGTGTCCAGCTCGACGTCGACGAGATGCGAGCAGCGCCGAAAGTCGGAGACTGGAGAGCGACTGCGTCGAGCCAGAGTTTTCAGCGACGGGGTAGTTCATTAGGGCAGGGTAGCCTGCGTACGATGCCATGGCTGACGCAGCCAGTGTCGGCTCGGTGTATGAGTAACCCGTTACGGCGGCGGCGGCGGCGGCAGCGGGAAGCATCGCCGAGTAAGGATACACGCTTTTCAACTGAGAAGCGCTCACGATGGCGGAGTAGGTGAGATCGAGCGGCTTGCCTCCCGCCTCGGGGTGGCTAGCATCGCTTGTCTTTGCGCTCTTAGGCCGAGATGGGCCGACCATGTTAGAAACGTCTAGAGCTGATTTCTTCATCTTCTCTGGTTTAACTGGAGTGATGACTTCAAATGAGTCGGATTTCTCTGGCTTTGTCATTTTAACTTCGATGACCTCCTTAGATTCCATCACTTTTCGAGCAATAATCTGTAAAGGCAGATAAAAAAGAAGAAATACTTATTTGTTTGAATAAACACAATAATCACACTGGAGTACATCTACATTCGTTCATTTTCAACAACCAAAAACAGATTTTAAAAAATGGTTTCAAACAGTTATTATATCATATCATGAGCAACTTCATATTACTGATCACAATGAAACTGAAATTAAAATAAATATTCTCTTACATTACCCAATGTAAGTGATCAGAGATTCGAAGTAAATATTTACATGGATGACAAGATTTAAAAACTCGGTTTAAAGTTGAAGATCATCGACTTTAAAACGAAAAAGGTTAATGAAAATGCACAGATGAAACTCGAGATGATAGCGCTCACTATTCGAATAAAAAAAGATTTACCTTTTAAATAAGATTCAGACGATACACAAAGAATTGAGTAAACGAGTTTTGAATTTGGAAAATTGAAATTTCAGACCCTCGGAGGGTAAGTGCAATATTAATTACAAAGTAATATCTTGATCTACTTACCTTCTGAAGATTTTTTTCTTGTCAAATTTGGTGAATATGCTTTAAAATAGATGTCAGCTTCGGTAGTTTATGTTCCTTTCCTTGACAGAAAGAACACTTATTTCAATTCCAGACAAAAACTGAATTTGTGTCACCAAGTTCACCTCAACAAATAGAGAAATAAAGGATAGTGACTATCCGAGCTATGGTTGAACAATTGAGCAAGAACTTGGTAGTTGTCTGGATGAGCGAGTTGTTGGTAAATGTTATGAAGAAGGGTTGAAGCGCGACTTTTTATCACTTGGTGAGTAGTAGTCACCCTGCCCTTGTGACCTACCAGGGACGAACGCGGTGACGTCGCACGGCTCGCGACCTCGCACCAAAATACATCGGTCACTCGCTCACGACCATATAACATGTGACGAATGAACAAACGGACGGACGTTCCTCAGCTTGCGCGGCGCAGACGATATTTGGTCTGCGGGCAGGTTCTTATAATCCGGTTTGTTTGGTGTTGATGATGATCTCATAATAGTTTGTGAATGGGAAGAGAGCGTGCGTGCGACGATAACTTCTGCGGCTGCGCAGTCTGATAGGCGCATACACTCTGCTGAGCATGTTTTCTCTCTCGGTTATATCATGGACCTACTGGTCGATCGCCCTCTCTTTATTCTTTTCCCAAACAAATATAGAAGCAGTTTCTGTTTCTTAGTGCTTATATTATATGATCATGCTCGTTGCATGCTTGTTGATGTATGTGTATGGGAGGTCTAATTATGGCGTAAAACTGTAGCGAGGGTAACAATAATTCTGCCATGCGTTACTTTTAAAGTCATTGAGAACACTAAATAATTCCATTACTATAATCAAGTAAACAAAAGTAAAAGTAAAAGTGAAGAGTTTTGCTTATTATGAACGTGAAGAAAAACAAGTCATAGAGCAGGTCAACAACAACATCTACAGTAGGACAAAATGTTACTTGATGATTCCCGAATGCGAGGCAGACATCAAAAGAAGGATTGAGATTTTTAATACACGGAATACATTCCTGGCAACGGAAGACTTATTTACAGCAAGAAAAAATCTAGCTTAGAATGAGACTAACCCATTGTTATGTCTGAAATGTTCTATTGTATGGACCATAAACGTGGCATTTAATTTGAAAATTTGAAAAATTGGTTATTTATTGTTATTATTAATATCATTATTATGTTATCATTGTAATAATAATGAAGATGAGTAGTAGTAGTAGTAGTAGTAGTAGTAGTAGTAGTAGTAGTATAGTAGTAGTAGTTTTGTTATTAATAAAAACCTGTTGAACTCTTAATAAATGAATCACACGCGACTGCATTCGACAATTATTTAGTTTAGGATCTAGGAGTGAGTATTTAACATAGCACAATTCACGAGCGAGTACTTCCAGGACGCGTTCAATATTGAAGTATTTAAGGAGAAAATCATTGCTCCCTTTATATTCAAAACATAGAAAAATAGATTCAGGTGTGGTCCAGAGAGGGCGTGCCTCAGAAACTCTGACATCTTAGGATTCGGAACATGGAAAACCAAGCATCTGAATGTCTTAAATAAAGGGAAATAAAGTTACACGCTCGTAGAATACCTGTGTTCCATTACATTTTCCATTAAACTCTTTATCGGGCATGGTCATTATCAGTAACATGATTATTTTGATAAATATTATTATTGTTAATTTCAATAACAATAGTTAAGGGAGGAGGAGGAGAAGGAGGGTTGGTGGTATTGTGTGCATCATATGTCTTTAAAGCTTATCTGCCGTAGTTTACAGGAGGGATTAGACTGCCCTGCAAGGTCACTGGACAGGTGGTTATCTCATCAACTCAGCTCTCAGTTAACATAAGAAAAAGAGGATCACGGGGGACCAATGGTCACCGATTAGGTATTTTTTGTTATACAGAGGGCGCAAGTAGCTACAAGTAGCGCAGTGGGCCTTTAATAAAGATGATTCTGTCAGCAGAGTACTGTACGTCACCATCTTTCAAGCAGATTTTGTCACTGTATTTTAAGCAGATTTTGTCACTGTATTTCAAGCAGAGTTGTCACTGTATTTCAAACAGAGTTTGTCACTGTATTTCAAGCAGATTTTGTCACTGTATTTTAAGCAGAGTTTGTCACTGTATTTCAAGCAGAGTTTGTAGCTGTATTTCAAGCATAGCTTATCTTTTTCATCAATCAATCAACTGGAAACCAAGTGGTACACTGGTCGAGTCCCGCCGTGGCACCAATGTCCTCTGGCAACACATCAACCTACATTTGCCACTTGTCATTTAGGTGTAGTAAATGTTAAAAAATGGGTATCCGGTATCATACTAGGTCTATGTCCTACCCGAGGATATTGCCGTTAGAGTAAATGATGTTTTAAGAATAGGATATGAAACAAGGGCAAAAAAGTTGCAAGCGATATAAATCATTCGCAACTTAAAATTATTTTAAACTCCTATCTCACATGCGAATAATTTCAAGATGCGATTGATTTGAATCAATCGCAACTCTTTATGATACCCGGGCCCGAAATGAAGACATTTAAGACGAGGTGCGGGGTGTGGGTATGTTGTTGTTGTGTGTACAGGCGCGTACGCAGGAGGGTGTTTGGGGGGTTAACCCCCCCCCCCCCCTTTGGTATTTTTATGTGTATAAACCCCCTAAAAAATTATTCCCATGAATGACCTAAAAAAGGTGACCTTACCCCCCCCCCCCAACGGAGCAAAATGTCAAATTTCCAAATTTCGAGACAAAAAAAAAAAAAAAGTGTCATCTTACCCCCCCCCCCCCCCCCCCGCTTATTCAGCGCCCGGCTGAGTCCTTGCGATTTTTAGGTGACCCCCCCCCCCCCCCCGCTTATTCAGCGGCTGGCTAGGTCGAGTGCGAAATTTTCGGCCCGATTTGAAAATGTTAAACCCCCCCCCCCCCCCTTGAAAAAATCCTGCGTACGCGCCTGTGTGTGTATGTGTATGTGTGTTTGTTTTTATAGAAGCCTATCAATAAGATCTGATAACGAGCGTCTGCGAAATGAACCTCCAAGTTTTCAACGCCACAATTCGAAAAATACTCATCTTCTCCTCAATCTCCCCCTCCTTTTTCTCCTTTTTCTCCTACCTCTAATTCTAATTCTAATTCTTGTTCTTCTTCTTCTTCTTCTTCGTCGTCGTCGTCTTTTTCTCCTTTTTTCAAGCGAACGAGCCTAATCTTACGAGTTTGTCTTTTGCTGTTTTGCAGGGACCAGTCCACGTACGTCACTTTCTTTTCTCTATTTCCAACACTCCCACCCCTATAAAGGCTTATTTAGATATTACATTTATATATAAAATAACCAACAAAAAAGGGTGTGGAATGAATTGGAAACTGCGCGCAACAAAGGATTTGCGCGTATTCAGCGATCTCTGTATTACAAGATGTGAAACGAGAAAGAAAAAAAAGCGCGAAATAAATGCGTTTTTTTTTTTTCTTCTTCTTTTAACGGCGGTTTATTACGCTTTGAAGAAAAGTGAAAAGAACAACAAAGATAACAACGCTGAAAAATTACGAAAGATGGATATGATTTTAAAATTCAGCACTTGTACTTAAAAAAAGTATACGCAAGCAACTGTGTCATAACTCTCTTCCAATATTTATCTCGTGGTACGAAGGGCTTGTATATTTTCTTCTCCGCTGCATTTTCTCGCGCCTGTAATTCCCAATTTTCCTTATCCCAGATGGATAGAGTCGTGTAGGAGGTTGTAAATCATCTGTAGACTGTGTAGTGACAACCATGTAAGGATCGTTCTCTCAACCCCCCCCCCCCCTTTTTTTTATCTTCCCCTCTCTCTCTCTCTCTCTCTCTCTCTCTCTCTTTCTTCCTCTCTCTTTTTCTCTCTCTTTCCCCCACTCTCTTTTTGATCTCTACCTGTCTTTCTCTCTTTTTGGGTTACTTTTCTCTTTCTGGCCTTTTTGGTAATCCATCGTCAATTCTGCACACATCCGTTTTATCAATTTTTTGATCATATTCTATATTTTTCTTTCTTTTTAGTTGCGTATTCTCACGCTGTATGATTTGATACATTTATTAATTTCACCTTCCTTCATCATTCATGTTTGATATTGTTTTACTTCAATATACTAAGTCATTAACACTTATTTTTACTATATGGTTCACACTTTTAAGTTTTAGTATTCAGTAAACTTCGTCAATTTTTCTTATGTCATTTTCAATATTGAATTGATTAGC